GAGACAGACAGACAGTCGGACAGTCAGTCAGAGAGACAGACGCAACATAAACTAAACTCAGTTTAACTAAACCTAAGTTTAAACTCTTCAGACACTGACCAGCTCTTTCCAGACTCGTATCGCTCTGGACCTGGCGACCTGCAGAACTCCCAGAGTCCTTTTCACCTGAGGACGCTTCAACTCCTCCATCAGACTGAGACACACACACACACACACACACACACACACACACAGAGCTTAAGAGAAAAGTTAAACTCAGATTTAAACAGTAAAGGAAACAAACAGAGACAAAGATGAAATGAGATAAAGAAGATGATGTCATTTTAAATCTGCTCAGACTGTCACACGTTATCTTTTATTTGACCTTCACCTGTTGAAGGTGACCAGGCGTCTCTTCCAGTGCTCCAGCTCCGCCGAGGGTCCGACGTCATCCGCCTCCTTCCTCATCTGCTCGCTCTCCGTCAGCACCTGCTTGATCTGATTGGTCCACACTAAGACCACGCCCTCCAGACGCTCCACCAGCTCGCTGTTATTGGCTGAGAACAAAAGTGCAAGTCGTTTGTTGGACGAGGCTTTTTGGTTCAAATGTCAAACACGTGTTTGTACGATGTTAATCATTTTCTTCTCTGACTTCATTTGATAGATTTATATGAAAAGAGAGAAGAGGAATAAACGAGCCCACGTTGAACAGCTGGAGGTGTTTGACCCTCCTACCTGCAGAGGTGTAGTCCGCGGGGCGGCTCAGCTGCTCGATGGCGTCAGGGAGGTCAACCGGCTTCAACTGGAACTTTCTGTCCACGTTGAGTCGGGCCGAGTTCAGATTACTGACAAACTGATCCACCGACGACTGGAAGGACTGGACGTCAGGAGAGGACGCTCCCGCCTGCACGGAGCCCCACGTCTGCACACGGAAACAGAGGGGGGGCGGTGGAGGTAATACATAGGAACAAACTCAACATGAACACGTGAACGTCAGAAAGAAGCAGCTACAACGACAGAAACCATCCTTGATGTAATGTTCATGTCCCATGTCGGCCATCTTAGTTTAAAGTCTTTAGACGCTGGATACAGAGACATGTCTCCTGCCTCAAGTGTCTGTTCACTTATAATAATAATAAAACAATTATTCATTAAAAGATGAAAAGAAAACTTCATGTAGTTTTTAACCTGATGCAGGAGCAGAAGGTCACAGAAGGTCATGCTCCTGTGTGAACATGAGGTTCTGCTAATGTCTCATGTCTCATTGTAATTCAACGTGTCCCTCAGGTTCATACCTGCTGTGACCTGAGAGCCGGTAACATGACGTCGACCAGCAGAGTCTCCACGCTGTGCAGGACGCCTCCATCGCCGCAGTCCAACAGACCGAGGTTCACCTCCTGCAGGCGGAGCAGAGATCAGGTCACGTGACCGACCACCAACAGGGGCTTCGAACATTTATGTGGGGCCCCGGGCTGAGAGGGCCCCAGCTGATCCACAAGGACGAAGTTTATGAAAAACTCCTTAACGTCTATGATCAGCTCTGTACAGGAGACTGTGACATCACGTGGTCAGAACAAGTCGTCATTTTACATGAGGAACGAAAACGTCTGTCATGTCTCGTGTGTCTCCTTGGGGGGGGTTGGTTTAATGTCCCCCACGTCCCCCTGAACGCACCACGATGAGTTACCGACCTGCTGTACGTTAGCGGTGGTTATGGCCTTGTCAGTGGTTCTCAGGAAGAACAGACACTTCCCCAGGAGAGGCTGAGAAACACAGAGAGACCGAGGTGAGTTTCAGTTTGAGCTGAACAAGACAGAAACTTTGATTTTCACTTTGACACATATTTAAAATCAGAAGAATCTCTGACCATGAACGAGACAAACTGTGTGTGGAGGTGAGTGAGGACCCGGATCAGAGTAGAGCTGTTTATGAGCCAGAACATTTCCAAACTCTGGCGTCTACAGATCACTTCCCTGAATCTACAGCTGAACAGCAAGACTTCATTATTAGCATGTAGCCTTTAGCTCATTTTCACAGATTTCCCTGGAAAGAAGGAAACGTTGCTGAAGCCTCTGATCCCTGAGTCCACCTGTAGTCGTGTGATATGAACTGAAGGTGTTTGGCATCACCGTGGAAACGCTGAACAAAGCGGCGCAGGATTTTCTTCCATAGCAACACAGACGCAGTAATTATCTGTGAGACGAAGCTTTGTTCCGACTGAAACTAAAACTCTGATCTGCTTCACGAGCTGTAACCATGACGACACGTCAACCGCTTCACCACCACATGACGTTTTCAGCACTGAGGTCAGAGGTCAAACTGAAATCATGTCTGACATGAAAACTTTTATTTTACAGAGGAAACAATAGAGAAAAGATCTGCAGGTTTATATTTTACATCAGTTCTATTTATTTGGTTTATTTATGGTTAAACTGTAAAATAACAAAACTCTTCTTTGTCATTAGGAATTGATAACATTTTACATATTATTTAAAAATGAAACTGCTTCTCGCCGCCAGCTGCAGATTTAACTGGATGAGACCGAGTCGCTCCGCGTGCCCGGTAAAGGTCCGAGTTTATCGTCACAGGGAGGAAGTGAAAAACTCCAGAAAGCTCCAGAAAGCGTTCTGATTGGAGGCAAGATGAGTCATCAAACAGTGTGAAGAGATTTAGATGTTCAAATACCAGGATGTTGGTTTGATAACGAGAGAGAAATGAAGAGTTGACACAGAGACACAGGATTCAACCCTGAACACTTTGGGTTCCTGGTTCTGATCCTGAACTGACTGTTTGTTCTGCCTCTGAGCTGCTGCTGTTCTCTCGTACCTCAGAGTTCGCGGTGGTGAGGAAGAGTTTCCTCTGAGCATCGGCCGAGGACACGTCCACAGAGGACGACTGAGTGGACGACAGGTTCTGAAGGAAAAACACGGACAACACAGAAGAGAGGGATTTAGATAAAAAGAATGACGTCATAATGAGTCAGCAAAAAATGATGATGAAAGGGTCTGATTAGAAACAGTGAGGTGTGGAGGGAGGTAGAACTGTAGGGCGCCCTCTACTGGAGGTTTTCCTAACTGGGCCGGCCTGCTTTACCCGCCGCCGTCACCCGACTCCAGGTGAGTGACAGAAAATTGATGGAAGAAAAACAAGTGATGAGACAGATGCAGATTTCGGAGAAGAAGGTGAAGTGGAACTTGGAGTCGACGTCATGAGAACATTTACCTGCTTCACATCCTGACAGAAGAAAATCAGCTTCTTGGATCCATTGGCAGCGAAGAAATCCTCGATGAGACGGAACTGGAGGAATCAGACACGAATGATCAAACACTGGTCGGTTCCGGTTCTTCTGGTTAAAGAACCCGACTGTGATGTTACCTTGTCGTCAGAGATAACAGCGTCCTCCACCTCCGCCTCGCCCAGCATCCCGGCGTCTGCCAGCCTGCCGATCAAGTATTTATGTCGAGCGTCCAGCGTCCCTCGTCTCTCCTCCCTAAGGGCTCTCGCTTGCTTCGCGATCTCTCTCCTCACCTCATTGGACAGCAGCGCAGTCCTTTTCCCCGACACCTGAACAGGAAATAGTTAATAGTGTGCGGCGGCACAGAGGGGGTTCCGAAGCTGTCTTTTTTCTCTGTGGTTGGTCTCCTCCACCTCCACCAGGCTCTTTAGCTGCTAAATGCTAAGCTACGTTCTGCAGATGTTTGCAGATGTTGATCAGTGAACAGAGGAAACTCATGTTAACACCAGCGACTGTTTGCATGTGTGAAATAAATATTCTGGCATGAACGCTTCATTTTATGCCACTATTGCAGCCAGACACCAGGGGGCGATCTTTGTCTACAGTCGGTGGTTCTGACGGACAAACACTCACGGAGGTGGCGGCAGTCGGGGGTGGAGCAGCTGCCGGAGGTGACATGTTGACGGCTCTGGGATTCTGACCTCCGATTCGCCGATGTCCTCGGCCAATCACATCTGGAGGTTTGAGAAGAAGAAGTCAAGTTTCAAACTGTGAAATATTTCACATGATCATTTTTCATCATTCGACAAACAGCTGCTGTGCTCACAAGGGGCGGAGCTTCACACTCAGACTATTCTGTGGTTGTTAGATATAATGAATGTTCTTAGCATGAGCTGATCAGCCTCAGTGTGTGTGCACCTCTGTGGAGGTGAAGCTGAGGAGGCCTGAGTTCGGTCAGAACTCCGTCTGCTCCTCCTCTTTCCTCCTTCTCTCCCTCTCCACCAGCACCATCCAGGTTCTCCAGCCCAGGATCGAGGCCCTGTCCTGGGGCAGGCTGGTCTCCAGGCGGCCCTCCAGCCTGGAGATCTGCCGAGCCGTTCGGTCCAGGATCAGATCCGTCGGCCGGGGGAGCGGAGGACGTCTGACCGTTCTGTGAGAACTCAGCTGGAGGCCGAGAGTCTTCATCTGCCATCTGAGAGTCAACACACGACCTGGTTCACTTCTGCTTCTTCCACCGCTTCTTCTGCCGTCACTTTGAAGTGAGGATCTGTTCTAATGCTGCTTTTCTCCTCTTTGTAAATAAAGTTATGATGATGACGCTATGACACAATGACCTGATCCCAGCTGTTACTTTAACATTAAATCTGGAAAACATCAACCAATCACTGAGGCTTTACACGATGACATCACTCACCATGAAAAGACGTCCGAAACCGAGACAACCTGAGCTGCCCGAGTGCCTTTGAGCCACAGAGTGAGCGGCTGCAGAATGAGGAGAGTTGACTGAGCGGCTGATGTGTCTGTGTGTGTGTGTGTGTGTGTGTGT